GAGACAGACAACCAAGCACACTCACATTCACACCTACGGACAATTTAGAATCACCAATTAACCTCAACATGTTTTTAGATTGTGTGGGAGGAAGCCGGAGAACCCGGAGAGAACCCACACTGCACGGGGAGAACATGCAAACTCCACCCAGAAAGATCACCAGGACGCGAACCGGCAACCTTCTTGCTGGCAACAGTGCTAACCACCGAGCCCCCTTGCAGCCCCCTGTTAATGGGTCGCCCGCTCAACTGGGTGAGCTATACGGGCGCCCCCCTCATCATAACTAATTCAATTCAATTCAATTCAATTCAAATAACTTTATTCATCCCTTAGGGGCAATTCAAAGCTCAGAGTATTTATAGTCATAATAACAATAATAATAATAATAATAATCCATCCATCCATCCATTATCTATACACCACTTAATCCTCACTAGGGTCGCGGGGGGCTGGAGCTTATCCCAGCTGACTCAGGGCGAAGGCAGGGGACACCCAGCCAGTATTATGATTATTTATTTTTATTTTAAAATGTTCATTTTCTATTATTTATTATATTTATAATTAAATAGTTATAAATATAATTAAACATCATAACTAATGATTTCAGTTTCTGACTGTATTTTGTTCAGCTATCTAGCGACTATGTTTTCCAGCTATTTTCAAAATAAAATTCAAATAAAATGATACAAAATAAATGTCTATAAGTAAAAAATGAAAGCATAAACAAATAAATAACTGTACCAGTCAAGCCCAGTGTCGACTGAATTTTTTTTGAATGTCTAAATAAATTTTTTGTCAAATTTTTGTCCTCTAGAGCTTGATTGGTTGCAACAACTACAACAACAAGAAAAAGTTGACCCTTCCATCTTGTGCAAACTTGTCTATATACAGTGAGACAGCTTTCATGCTGAGCAGAAGGGTTGTGCAGTCAACTCTGTCTCTTTAATCGCTTTTTTTTCCTCGTGTTTGGCTTCATTGCTGTTAGTTTACACTAGATCCCCCATTAGTGTCAGTCACGCAGGGTGATGCCCAGATACTGTATGAGACGGCTAAACACAGGGGAGGGGCTGTCCTCCCTCCTCTGTTTAAAGTACAGGTGCTATTTGCTGGTGTGTGCATCTATTATGATTTTTAATGTGATCACAATGACTGTTTGTGCATTAGAGTGTGCTCATTTGCTCCTGTGTGATCAGTTTTCCTGGACAACAAAGTTAGTCCGGTTACGTAGTCGGCTCTCCCGGGGCCTTATCTTGATTGGTTAGGGGAGGACGGGGTGGGAGCGGCGATCTGTCGATGAGGATCCACAGGCGTTCTCAGTTGCGCCGTGTCTGGAGAGAGTACAGACAGATCCACCTCCTTCACAGCCTGAGAGGTTCTCATGGACAGATGAGGACTCTGCACATGAAGTCTGCCATTAAGAGGTCAAACAGTGATCCACTGAAACAACCATAAAGTACTTTGGATTCTTAAAAACCTGTTCGATTTTAAGGGAAGCTTATAAAAGGGTCACAGTTCTTGCAAACCGTCCTCCAAATTCTTTAAGGAGCTACCTGAGAGGAGGTCAAGTTCAAATCAACCACACCTGACATGGTGAGGAAGAAGCGGCCGCACTGAGTGGAAGCATTGAGGTAAAGTGAGGATGAGTGAGAGGCCCGGAGCGTCCGAGGGAGAAGCATGAGGAAGCAGACCAGCCGAGAGACCAGAAACCAACTGCTTTCAATGTGAACACACAGCACCATGCCAACCCTGCTGCCAGCCTGGCACAAGAGGACCAAACTCCTGCTCTCACTTGTCTTCATCACCATCAACCACCAGGTAAATCACACACACACACACACGAGGCTTTAACTCACATTCAGACTCATTTAATATTAGGCATCAAAGCCGCTGCTCTTACACTGAGTTACCAAAACCTTTCCCATTTAATTTTTAATTAAACAAAACCTAACTTCACAAAAGAATCCCCCTCAGGCTTCTCTGTATGAGGCAACATCATATGCCATATTTCTCATGAAACACTTTATACTGCAGAATAAATAAATAATACAGCAACGGAGCAGCAGATTCTTTTTTATGTGAAATTAGTCTTTTTTTTCACACTGAGTTTGGGCCACAGGAGGTCCCACCGCTCATATGCATTTTCTGCAGGATGTAGTTGCCTGAAAATGGAAGTTTACCGACGTGCTCAGATAACAACTCGCTATCTGCTCTGGAAATCCTAAATGAGAGGAGTGTTTTTCCACAGGGGATGGAAAGAAAAGAAAGCACTGAAAACAAAAGACAAATAAGATCAGAGCGTCTAATAGTTTGAGTGCAAGTTCACATTCATCTCCAACATGGTAATTCAGGGAATTGTTTGTTGGAGCTGAGACTCTGTGGCTGGGTTTGAATCAGGTTGAGCCCCACGGGACACAACAAACCAGATAGGGAGACAGCAGCTCTTGGCTCTCCTTCACCGGTGATATCGCTCTGGATGGGTTCTTGACAACAGGATCCTCAGTGAATTGAAACGCTCTCTATCAGCCGGCTCACATGAGGAATTTTTTTTTGTGGCGCAGGTGGCAGATGAGCAGCGGGCGGAGGCTGCAGACTTCAGCTGCAGCTCTTACTGGGGTGTGAAGATTGTGTGTTCAGCTGAGATAGGAGAGCCACTGTCCTCGACCCTGACTCTGAGCTACAGAGGGCAGGGTGGCAACAGAGGTCTGCTGCTCCCCTCTGATATAAAGAAAACGCTAATATGTCTCACTAATGTCAGCAACCAACCTTAATTTATGGCTGAGCCCGGGACACACCCATCCACAGCGGTTATATCATTTAGTGAAAAATAAATACAGAGGTGTGTTTACATTGCTGCAGGCATGACACTAATGCATTGAGCCGAGTTGATAAATTGCCTGTATCAACTACAGATTACACTAAGGTAAAAAGGTTCCCCCAGTAACTGAAGATGCCCCTGATTAAACACTCCCACCAAGTGGGTAAATATGAACACTGCAGCATCCACTACACGCTGCAGGGACTATAGTGAGCAAATCCACTTACTGCATCTCATTATAAATCCACTTACTAGATTGTCACCTGATTATCATCTTGTTTTCAAAGTAACATTTTTTAAAAATGAAAACATGCATGTTTCATCAGCATCTACAGAACAGCGATACAATAGACACGGTTACCCAGAAAGTTGGAATAATTTTTGTTTTCAGACACATTCCTCTTTTTATTTCTATTTCTACACATCAGTAATCACTTCTGACCAGGTGCAATGATCACATACTGAGTCTCAGTTATCAGGTGAAACTAGTCCTGACTTCAGGATGTGACTGAAGAGCGGGACGTCCTGCCCATTGACACCATCAACAAGCTGGAGGACAGTATGCCACCATGTCTTAAAGCATTGATCCATGTCGGGGGTGGCCATGCTCAATATTAGTGACTGAGTGACATTTAAAGAGCAATATTGGACATTCTAATGCATGAAATCCTCTCAAATACGTGTTTCCAAGGTTGAAAAACTGAAACTAAACTCCTAATCCTATTGTTCAATAACCCCAATTTAGTTTAAGTCTGAATACACAGTTTGCAAAAGTTATCTGTGGTTTAAGTTTTACTGTAATATGTACTGTATGTATAGTTGTGAAATCCATAAAGTTTTGAGAAGATATACACTTCATCTATCAAGATAAAGAGATAAAAAATATATATTTATTCCAACTTTGTGGACAAAAGTGTATTTACTAGTACATGTTTTCTCTGAGGCGCTGCCAAGATTTACCATGACAGGATTAGGCAGCAAGTGGAACTCTAAATGTGTTTTGTTTTTTTAGATTCAATTAATTTTGTTCAGTGAGAAACTCAGTTCACTGCTAATTTGGTTGACTCAAAATCTTAAAGCTGCACTTTTCAATATTATTACAAAATTAATGACGAAACTGAGCATGTGTAATGTGAAAGGGATCACTTGTAGTATAATGGTATTTTAGCATCTTTCAGGTCATTGCTTGGGTTTGATGGATCGGAGTTTCATTGTTTTTCAGTCTCATCGAGCTCTTTTCCAGCAATAGGCAGGTCATCTCAGGAAAAAATGCTCATGTAATTACATATCCAGACAATAGCAGCGCTAGCTAGCATGTCTACACAGTGGCGCAAAAGAGCCTCACAAGCTGATGGAAACCAAATATGAGCAAAAGGAGAGTGAATGTTGGATTCACCAATGAATGAATGCTAATTGTAGCAGGATGTTTAATTAGACAATATGTGCTCACTCATTTCCTGTCATAATCTTATAAAACAAATATGTATAATGTGAGATTTTTTTTTTAATCCTGTATTTTTCTTCTGCTTATCTATAAATACATGATTAGAAAATAAAAAAAGGAAAAAAAGCCTGTTATTTTATGGTGTGCCCTGTTGCTAACGATACCTTTTCTCTCTCGTCTCTTTGAATCCACCTAGAAGGTGGCAGGCTCACTGCTGGAAAGTCTGATAGCTAAACGGACTGAATACTGGGAGACCTGCAACAGATCTCTGACAACAGATGCACTCTCAAAAACTGGTGAGCCTCCTGCCAGATGTTAATTATCTTGATTTTTATTACCACTATGAAATGCTCAGACATTATCTTTTATTGCAGGAAACTACTGCAAAGGAACATTCGACACGTTCCTCTGCTGGCCCTATTCGTCTCCTGGGAACGTGTCCGTCCCCTGTCCTCCTTACTTACCTTGGATCAGCGAGGGTAATGCCATTTTTTATCACTTTACAGCTAATATATGAGGTCACCAATTAACAATAACCGTATTACATGACCAACCTTTGTGCTCCTCAGGCTTTCTTTGACACGTCATTCGCTTAAACTGAATGAGTCTGCAAGTGTATCACAAGACAGTCATAAGATCAAGTGTTCAACAGTGTAGTCAAAGGTCCAAACACTTAATTGCACAGTCACGCTGTAAAAGTGAAGCAGTCGTCTGCTTTTGGGAAAGAACTTTAGTGAATCTGTTTCTTCAAAGTAGTTTTCAGCTAGTGGTGTGGTTCTCTGGGTTACAATGTCGTTAGATTAGTGGTCCTTTGGTCCTGATTTACTGAATCATAGATGGATTTCCATGCAGTTTTAATTCATTTCATTCATAGTTTCCACAGATTAATCCTGTTGACTTTATCTGTTTTGAGTGAAGCTACTGAATGATCTAATTTGGTAAACATTCATGCCCACGTTTTGCTAATTGCACTTGTTTTAGTGATCACAGTTTTCATCTCGCACCATTATCAGATCAAAAACGTAACTGTTCAATACTTATCTGTTTGGCCAAATGCCTGCTATCAACATTCCCACCAGCCTCAGCTGTATGTTAAGTTTACTTCTAGTGGTCAAATGTATAATACTAACTAAACTAAAATGATGAAGTAAGTGGACATTATATCTGTTAAAGATCAGAGAAGGGTCCAGTCGAAGAATTCACATCTGGATGTGGGGAACATCACTTCCATTACCTGTCTCCTTACTCCACTTTATTTTACCAGATGTTACATTTCTGTGCTTGAGTGTACAGTGCAAACTTAGAGTATTTGTCAGATAAAACCACAGATTGTAGATAAAAGACAGTCACAGACTATGAGTCTAAGAACTGAAGTCAATGCAGAATCTCCTTAAACTTGCATTCTTTTTAACAACCAGCAGGAGGCGACTCCTCTGGTTGCAAAACGAAGTTAGTTTGTATAGAATTCTATAGTAAAATGAGCCCATGTTACCTAATTTGTTTCCTCTGCAAACATTTTTCTAAGGAGTTTTTTTTGACTCAGTATCTAGTTTTAATACTTTTTGAATGTAGCGTGATGTTCATTTTGTAATTTAAGTTCTAATTTTGAGTAAAACAGGCAGTGTATGTTTTAGGTACAGGGCGGCCTTGTGATTGACAGGTCGCTGCAATATCTGTGTGTATAGTATTCTCAGGCTTTTCAAAAGACCAAATGCCAAACACAAGGCTTCACAATGGTAGTTCAGGAACCAGTTGATGATGTCACAGCAGATGTCCATCTGTTCTATTGTTCTTTTTAAAGGTAGCGAGGTGACAGTACAATTACTTCATTAATAAATATAAAAACACATAATCTTTAATACTATAGTAGCTGGGCAATGTCAGCATCACGTTGGCTCAAAGTCAATTTTTCCCAGATCTTGCTCATGCTAGGATGCTAGTGGTGTGGTAATGCTAAAGACAAGAGTGTAGAGTGTCTGTAGAAGATGGACGTAGCCCCCGGGTCTGAAAAGAGAAGCCAGTGAAGTGACTTGAACCTGCATTCTTTCCAATAGTCAACAGAGGGAGACTCCTTTGGTTGAAAAAAAGTCTGGCTTTTTAGAAGTCTATGAGAAAATGTTTGTACTTCTCACTTGATTTATTACCTCAGTAAACACTTTCTGAATGAGGTCATGGTCTCAGTCTCCAGTTTTAAGACTTTTCAAATACAGTATGATTTTCATTTTGTAATTTTATGGTCCCATTTAGAGGAAAATCACCAGTAAAGCAGGGTAGATTTTAGGACGAGACTACCTGATTGATAGGCCAGTATAGTATGCGATTTCCTCAGTAAGGTCCATCCCTTGCCCATCATGTCCAGTTTCGAAAACCATGATGACAATGGCCAAAATGTCAAACTTTAAAACAGTATTTTTGAAAAGCAGTGGCTGACATCACAGTGGTTACGTCCAAATTCTCTACAATCTGTGGACTAAAAAGGAAGTTGTGAATATGTGAAAGCCTCATGGTTTTTGTAACTCTCTTAAATTTTTATTGAATTCATAGCATTTTTACACAGAAGATATTACCTGTGATTCAGAGGATATAAACTGCTCCATTATTCTGAGTCTTTGTCTTGTCATTGTGAGCCTCTTAGCAAACTGATGTAATCATTTCAATCCTTAACTTTGTAAGCACTCAGGGCATTACTGTGCCTACAAATGACACATTTTCAGACTAATCGAAATGACTGAATGCTCAGTGTCCAAAAATCCTGCTGTACTGATGGTTATGTCTAAATTATCTCACCTTGATGAGACCATCTTTCAGAAAATGATACCACTATAAGCCCAAATTATCACAGTTAAGTTTCAATTCATGACTTCCTCTGGGTAGAAAAGCATCCACTCTGGGACACGCCAGCACAATACCTTCCATCAGCCTCCCTCCTCTGACTGCTGCACTGACAGACAAAAGCATGCATATCAATGTGTCTTTCAAATACCTGCAGACAACACCAGGAGGGCACACAGAGAATGCTTGGAGAATGGGAGATGGCGACAGATGGAGAACTCCTCGGAGCCCTGGAGGGATGATTCTGAATGTCAGGAGGACCATTACTTTAAGGATAAGGTGAGGAGAATAAAGTTTTAGGTCCCCTTTAGTGTTAGAGCTGACAATCAGGCATTGATCTGGTGATTTGTGGTTTCTAATCCTTCCTTTATCTAACAGTAAAAGACTTTTGAAAACCATCAGAAATTGCTTTCCTGACAGTCCTGTATCAGAAACACTTTGTGTGTGTGTGTGTGTGTGTGTGTGTGTGTGTGTGTGTGTGTGTGTGTGTGTGTGTGTATCCAGGAGGAAGAAATGTTTCGCCAGACAGCCCTGAGGCTCATCTCTGTCATTGGCTACTCCTTGTCCCTGTTCTCCCTCACACTGGCCACTCTCCTGATGGGCATGCTGAGGTCAGTTGCCAGGAGGAGAGATCTTCCTAATGGCTATGAAGACAAAGCTTACTTTAAAAAAAAAAAAGACATTTCTGGTTTATAATAACTTTGATCTTAGCTTCATAACTTTGGTCATCATTTGCATCACTAGTTATGATAACACTGTACGTTTCAAAGTAATTGCTGAGATATGGTACCATGACTGCATAGTAGCATCACTAATGCTGCATCATCTGAAGTGTCTAATTAATATTGTGTCAGTTGAGCCTTCTAGAGGGACGTATGTTATCATATACAGTTTGAGTTTTATACTATTTGCCTTTTCTTATGTGGATTTTCTCAATTACAATTTGCACAAACTTCCGCTGGTAAACAAACTAATGTAATGACTAGTGCTTAAATTTTGGAGCCAAAGCCAATTTTTAGCATGTAAAAAAAAAAATCAGATTTCAATATACCAGCTGATATCCTTTATGCACCACTGTGTGCTCAGCTGGGATACACACTCTGCTACATGTGCTGCCAGAACTTAAACAATGGAGTCAGAGACACTCTGCTGGGTAAACTATGTAATGGCACCATTTTGTTTCTCATGCATTACGTTATAAAAGTAAAGTTTTCATATTGGCATGTTTGTTACAACATATACACGATATAGATATATGTGTAATGAACTAACATCAGCTGACTGATATATTCGTTGTGCTTTTGTGCAAGTCAGTGTATTAAGGCCAAATAACTCTACTGAATGGTTCTCCTTTCTCATAAAATATTGAAAAGGGCAAAAGATCTGTGTTGCATACATCCATTATCACTTGTCATGATGCAAATGCAGATATTATTCATTCAGATTCAATATGAATAAGGCATAGGACACATTTATGTGCTTTAACTGCACTGATATTATGCAGGGTTGGGATGTGGAGATGGCCCACTATAAAGAGATATTTACAAGACCATGCAGACAATCAATCATCATTAATGGCGTGATAAGCCACCAGCAAGCATTTCCATGTAGCTGCATGTGCCCTGTTCATTTTTCATTTCCTCCTATGTTATGACACGAGCCCTCAGTAATGCTTTTACAGTTGTACTAGAGGAACAGATCAATGCTTTCTTCAGACTGCTCCTGTATCTGCTTACCAGGAAGCTCCACTGTACCAGGAACTACATCCACATGAATCTGTTTGTGTCGTTCATCCTGAGAGCCGTGGCCGTCATTTCTAAAGAAATCATTCTGTACGTCATGTATTCCAACTTACCCAAGGACGACCCTGGGTGGAACTCCTACTCAAGCTCTGCGGTACACTTACCACTCCCTCATTGTTTCTATATCAACAGATTATTAACCATTTGTCCCTGTGTGGAGGTTGAGTTGTAATTAATACAATGTTTGTCAGAAAAGTTCCAGGACTGGTGTCACAGAACATATATTTCAAACCCAAACTACAAACTGCAAGTTTTCCCCTTCAGACGATCAACCAGCACGTCTACAAAGAGATCCTGTGGCGTTTGCTTCGTTCAGTGCGCCAGAAGAGGCGAGAGTTGTGGCAGAGCAAGTTGCTGCTGCTTCACCATGACAACGCGCCTGCTCACAATGCCCTGAGCATCCGACAGTTCCTGGCTGAGAAGAACATCGTCGTGCTGGAGCAACCTCCCCACTCACCAACCTGGCTCCGTGGGATTTTTTCCTCTTCCCCAAGCTCAAGGGGGTCATCAAGGTGACCCGTTTAGAAGACGTGGATGACATCAAGATGGCTGTGATGACGGAGCTGTGGAGGATCCCGGAAGAATCCTTCAGGAGTGCATGGCGGCGTGGCAGAGAAGGCTGGAAAAGTGTGTTAGACTCCAGGGGAATTACTTTGAAGGGGAAAACTTGTAGTTTGTAGTTTGGATTTGAAATATATCTTTTGCGACACCAGTCCTGAAACTTTTCTGACACACCTTGTAGGTAGAATATCTAGGCTAACCTATCTGAAACTCATTCTTCAACAGATAGCGCTGATGTGCAAATTCTCCAAAGTGTGCATGGAGTACTTTGTGGCCTGCAACTACTTCTGGCTCTTGGTGGAGGCCATCTTCCTTCACACGCTGCTCTTCACCGCTGTGCTGACCAAGAGGCGCCTGCTGAAGAAATACATGCTGCTAGGATGGGGTTAGTCGAGCATGAATGGTTTGTGTGTATGGGTAGAAGTGGCCTGGCTCCAGAGCTGTGCACTCAGCCCACATCCCAGATTAGTTTGAAGGAATCTCAGACAAAGCTGGATATACATGCCAGGGAGCACCCTGGGTAAAACCTTTCAGTTGGGACCCTATCATAGGATTTGGGGCCCTTTAAAAGAGCACCACAGTATTAAATTAGCAGATTTCTTAGATTAATGTGAAAAAAAAAAAGTAACTCCTGCCAAAAGTTACTGCAGCATCCATGTCAACCAAAAGTATTTGAATAGGATGGACACTCTTAGAGAACTCCAACCCTGTCTACTCAGGATTAGGAAATCTAAAAACAAAATAAGCCACTTTTCCAGAAAAGAAATTAACTCGATGGACACAATGTGGCGCTGAAGGGAACATTAATTAGAGACAAATATTCAGGTTTTCAGTTGGCATTCACATATTACAGGATGATATTCTAGAGAGTATGTTTCTGCTGTAGGTTTCTTTAAGTGACGCTAATGCATTTTACCAATCCAAATGTAGATGTTGTTGTAATATTTACCGTGTAAATGGAGCGGTTCAGTGTCATTGATTATGTTTTTGCTACTTTTCAGGAACTCCCATCTTGTTTGTGACGCCGTGGACAGTGGTCAAAATTTTATATGAAAACACAGAGTAAGTGTCTGTATACGAGCTTCACGGTAAATTAATTACACTGAACTAGTTCATATGTTTTCATTGCTTGACTTGTAAAACCTCTTTCCTTCCTAAGATGTTGGTCCATTGTGAACAGATGGTTCTGGTGGATAATAAGAGGCCCGATTACTTTATCGGTGCTGGTAAGTGAAGTTTCTGAACAAGTTTCTAAGAACAAGTCACACGAGCTACATTGTGTTCCTCTTGTGATTGAAGACACTGAGTAAATTTCACTCTGATGTTATGCTGTGTTTAATGGTTCCTGTCTCGTGCGTTCATGTGATATTGAAGCTGCTGTAGTCACAAGCACGACTGATAGGAATTGTTTTCACACCGACAGAAGCGTTTCAAGATCCTCTTTTTCTTGCAAATTTAGTCTTTAGTCTTGCAAAAGTTCCTTCAAATCTCCCTTGGATGTGCTTTGCAGGTCATTTTCTTCATATTCATCAAGATTCTGATGCTGCTGCTGTCTAAGCTGAAAGCAGACCAAGTTAAATTTACCGACTACAGATACAGGTATTTTCGATTGTTTCTGCTTCCGCATACAAATGTCGTTTGACCTTGAGCTGTTTCCTGAGTCTTGTCTCAAAAAAGAACAGTAGGTTCCTGGTTTAACATTTAAATGTTAATCACCAACACATTCAAATGTCACCCCATATGCTCTGTCCATAAATGTCACCATGGAGGGAAGCTCATGCATACATTTATAAAACTTTCCTTTCTGCCCCACTTTGTCCTTTGTTCTTTGAATGTTATCCCAATATAAATACTACAGCCTTTTCAATGTTGCTCATTAAGAACAGCAACCAGATAGTAATTATGCAGTGCTGCATGCTGTTGTTTACCCTCTTCAGCTTGGCCAGAGCAACGCTGGTGCTGATTCCTCTGCTGGGAATCCATGAAGTGGTCTTCACTGTGCTGATAGATGAATGTGTGGAGGGCAGCAGTCGCTATGCCAGAAACTTTATCAACCTCACCCTCAGCTCTTTCCAGGTAACACCAGATGTGTAAACATACACCTGATAAAAAATAATTTTTGAAACCACATCGTGACTCTAATTTACAATGTGTGATCATTTTCAGGGCTTCCTGGTTGCTGTGTTGTACTGTTTTGCGAATGGAGAGGTATGTTTTTTTTGTTTCCTGTCAGTGTACTTTAAGTGTAATACAGTATTTAAAATATCAGAAATACGTGTATAGTATGATTTGATTACTTGGGCACAAGGAGAAGATGCTATTTGGGGCTTTGGTATCATTTTTTGGTATCATTCAATTGAATTTCCCTTCTGGGATAAATAAAGTATTTTTCATTTCATTCATTTCATTTGATAGCAGGAGACTTTAAAGCTGCAACAGTTATAAAGAATTATATTATTGTGAGATGTAGAAGGTGACATATACTCAGAAAATGATCAGTTATTTGGTTTGGTTTAATTCTTAACATGCTACCTGTCCAACACAAGATGTCAAACAGAAAATAATAGTGACTGTCTGGACATAGCATCAAGATTTAAGCAAGATGTATACCTGCAGTAACTTTACACTCTTTGATGTAGAAGAGTAACTGGGGACTCCCATCTTTATTTAGGTCCAAGCTGAACTGAAAAAGCGCTGGCAGCTTTTCCTGTTCACCAACCACTTCAAGGTCCGGACCTGTATTCGAGGAGCACCCCTCAAACACCTGTGGAAGTGCACCCGAGGGCACCGCCCGCAGGGCTCTCGCCAGAGTGACTCCTACGACGAGGGCGGCACCTCGACAACACACCCCCACCTGCTTCAGGTGGCTGTGCACGGAGGAGGTGGGGCTCTGGGACTAGGAGAGGTTAAAGGTCAGGGCCTGAAGCGCTGTGACACCACAGGGCTCGACTTTCTCACCAGGAAGAGCCTGTCTAGTAGTGATGGTGAGATGACACTTGGGGAGACCATGGAGGAGATCCTGGAGGAGAGCGAGTTCTGATCCCATTTAATCAGCTGGTACTTTCCTAACATGGACATATCGATATACTGAATGCAAGACAATATGCCTTCATCTGGGCTAAAAAAAAGTATTCAAAGACACGTTGTTCCAAGGTTGGATTACCAACCAGGCAATCGGAAACCATGTTTTCAGTGCAATGCTCCAAGGCCCCTGTCCCCAAGACCTGCATGTGTTCCAAAGACCCAAGTTTCAGCATAACACCTACAGTATCTAACTGTTGGGTCCTATATTCTCCATCCCAGAGAATTAAAAAAACACCCAGTTCAACCTGATGATATTAGTGTCTCTCTGTCTCTTAATCAGTGCAGAGCTGGTCAGAATAGTAAAGTCTTATAAGCAGCAACAAGCCCCGCTCCAGTAAAGACACTTAGCCTAAAACCAGATGTCTCCTTTTCATGGCTGGAAACCATCAATCTGGAAATGGAACACTAGGCTTCTTACATGCTTGCTAAGAACCTAATGGAAAAAGCTGGCACTTGAACAGGGTTGTAAACATCGGTAAACTAAATGAGTCCGCATTTGTGTGACAGTTTGTGCAGAGATGTTCATGTTGCTAACCATTTGTGAATTCCAGATTGAATCTATTCTGATGGGAAAAGCCAACACAGGTTGTTCCTATGTGCATGTTTGGATTCAGAGTGTTCACAGAGAGTAGGACCAGATGTCTTGCTAGCTCTCTCTTTGTCACACAGATGTGCACTCAGGTAACGAAATTTGGCAACAGTCGATTTAGCATAAATCACTAGTAGTACCGACATAATTTTGTCAGTACCTTTATAAGTACAGAGTTTTAAGGGAACCCAACTCGAGGGGCAGAAAGCTGTTGAAAATGGTGTTTAAAAAAATATGTGATCACTTTATGAATTAGACTGTTTAGGCTTGCTAACTGGGTTCACCACTGTGAATGTTTTAAGTTCTTGCTTTTTGGGATCTTCACACTTGGAGACATCAATTGACTGTATTTAAAAGATGGACGTAGCCTCTGTGTCTGAAAAACAAATCCAGAGACATGCCAGTGAGTTAAACCTGGATTCTTTCAGCCAATAGGTTGCAAATTCTTAGGTTGCATAAAGAACTCCAATTGCATAGAACTCGTTGAGAAAGTGACCTTACTTCTCAGCTAATCTGTTACCTCAGTAAACAACATAATAAGTTTATGTTGTCAATTACTCGTTTTAGTTCTTCTTCAATACAATATGATGTTCATTTTGTAAACTTTGCTTCAGTTTACAGTAAAAGAGACAATACAGGCAGGGTCTGCTCATGGTATGCTTATAGTTTTCACCCCTCGCTCGTCATGTTGGCTATTTAAAAAAACCAAGGTGGCAATGGCCAAATGTCATACCTGAGTCTTCAAAACATTGGTCAGCAAACAAGTAGGTGATGTTACAGTGATGACATACATCTTTTATATACAGTCTAAGGAGGAAAACAGGGTAGATACACACACTGCACAATGGACAGAAGGTTTGAGTGTATGGAGAAGAAGTCAACAGGAGGCTTTAACCTGAGGTCCTCCTGCTGGTGATGCAGTTTCTGAAACATTGTGCAAGACACACTCTGAACTGGGAATGCTGGGAATATAATGGAAGAATTAAGCAGCTTACCAGAAAATATTTTACAACTCTTTGTAGATATAAAAAGGAAGAAATAAAATGTGGATTTAGCAATGAAATTACAATTGAGGCATTTTTCACTGTCAGTGGTTTTTCCTTCTGACACAGTCCAGGCCAATCAGATATAAATGCTTTATTTAAAGGTTAAGATCAGTTCAATCAGCAGAGAGTGTTATGTTGTTACAGTAATAGCATACGGTGAATTACACACAGATGTGGGCATATAATGTTCACCTCTGGTATTTGTACATACACAGTGAATGTCAGGATAAACAAATGCAGCCACAGTGTACAGCATTTTTCATAGATTCTTGTATTATTTACCATGTAAAATGTAACATCTTCCCATTTCAGGCCAGTTATAACAATCCATGACACAGCATCTGGATTGAAATGTGCATATAAATACAATGTATTTGTTTTCTGAATGTGAATAACGCTGAAGGTTATGTGCAGCAAGTTTTACAGGCTTTTCATGTTTTCTATTTTTGTGGAGCTTAAAATGTATCAAAGGTGTCGTTGTACAGTTAAAACTATCATATGATTTGCACATGTAGTCATATAACAATGTATGTGCACAAACAATAAAACAGTTAAACAGAATTGTCTTGTTCCACGCCCTCTGTCAGAATCTGGATCTGAGACACGGCAGCAAGATTTTCCAGATAGGTTCAGTCATGATTGGATTATTGAACAGGCATATGGTGCACAAGCCCTGAGCCTTTGCATGAGGGGAAATTTTATATTGTATGTTAGTAAGTCAATCAAATAACTCCAAAGACACAAGAGATGGCTTCTGGTGAACTTTAGTAGAGATTTAATATGAGCTTTTTTTTCAACTATGTCTTTCTCCTTGTCCTTCTTTCATAAAGCTCAGATTGGTGAAGAACAGGCAACAGTTGTTGTTTGTCCAGTCTCTCCCATCTAAGCCACTGAAGCTTGTAACTACTTCAGAGGAGTCATAGGTGTCTTGGTGGTCTCTTTCACTAATCTCTTTCTTGCACTGTCACTCAGTTTTTGAGGACGAGCTACTCTAAGCAGATTTACACATTTACCGTATTCCTTCCACTTCTTAATGAAGAGTTGAACTGTACTCCGAGGGATATTCAGCGAAAGAGAAGTTTCCTTGTAACATCCCATGACTTGTGCTTTCCAATAACCTGCTGTGATCTACTGTACCAGGTGTGTCAGAACAGTTTCAGGACTGGTGTCACAAAAGATATATTTCAAATCCAAACTACAAACTTCAAGTTTTCCCTTCGAAGTAATCCCTCTGGACTTTCTCAGCCTTCTCTGCCACACCGCCATGCACTCCTGGAAGGATTCTCACACAATGAATGAAGCAAACGCCGCAGGATCTCTTTGTGCTGGTTGATCATCTGAAGGGCAAAAGTTGTAGTTTGTAGTTTGGGTTTGAAATATATCGTTTGTGACACCAGTCCTGGAACTTTTCTGAAACACCTCATGTTTCTTACCATTTTAGTTACCACACCATCTAATTTGATTCCTTCACATTTACAGTGCCAATAAAAAAAAGGCATTCACTGAAATTACTTTGTAGAAATCAGTTTTTGCTTTGACATGAAAGAGTCTTTTTTGCAAATTCATGTGAACAACAGCCAAACGATATTGACCACAATTCAGTGTTGAAAAGAAATAAAAGGATGAAGCCTATAAAGGGGGTGAATACCTTTTAGAAGCATTGTAAATGTGTATATCGAAATAAAGCTACAACTTCATGCCTCTAGCCACCAATAAATGTTCTTATATGTATGCAAACTCAAGGTAATTGGTATTTCTTAGCAGATCTAGTTCTTAATTATATTGCTCTCAGCACAAAATCCAATTTGCACTAAATTTCATACAATGCTGCTCTAGCAATTACACAGTAGATGGTACCCAGCATCAGTTGTGCGTCATCCACATCCCAGTGACTTCAGATTGTTCCTTGCAGCTATATTTTCCCTATTTTATCCAATTATGGTGACTGATTGTGCTCATGACTTCGCCCTTTTTGCTATAAGCCCAACATTCCTTCATTTTGCCTGCAGCATGACTCTCTGGAGAGCATGGTCCTCCCAGAAATATGTTCATCAAGGTTTAGCATTCCATAAACAAGTAGCACAAACATCTCTGCTGAAATAGCCTTCTCCTCAATTAAGCGAGCATTTATGCGATCTGAGACCATCAAGAGCGTCAACAAAAAAAACTACTAAAAGCTAATCTGCTTGCAACAGTGACAGACAGGAGATGCCACTGTTACAACGTCCTTCTTAACCATCCTTCTGTAATCACAGTGAAGTGTAATTATACTCCTGCTGATATTATATTCTGTCAAAAAAAAGGGGAAAAGCTTCAAGGAGGCCTGTTGATCATGAACACTTGAGTCCATCACTCAAGTCAGCTCACTTCCTGTTTGCTCCAATGAGACAAAATAATTGAATTGTGCTCGGAGACTTTTTCTGGTAAAATAAAGAGTATTTTCTTGGAGTTGTTATTAATCCCCTCTTTTCCAATGGATGTGTTTGAAAAAAAAGACCCTTTCAGCTCATGCATGTCATGTATTAAACTGTTCCTGGGGGCTTTGTGGGCCACAAGGTGGCACGCTGGTTCGCAGCAAGAAAGTCGCTGGTTCGTGTCTTTCTGTGTGGAGTTTGCATGTTCTCCTCGTGCAGTGTGGGTTCTCTCCAGGTTCTCCGGCTTCCTCCCACAGTCCAAAAACATGTTGAGGTTAATTGGTGATTCTAAATTGTCCGCAGGTGTGAATGTGAGTGTGCTTGGTTGTCTGTCTCTAAGTGTAGCCCTGTGATAGACTGGTGACCTGTCCAGAGTGTCCCCTGCCTTCACCCTAAGTCGGCTGGGATAGACTCCAGCCCCCCGCGACCCTAATGAGGATTAAGTGGTGTATAGATAATGGATGGAAGAACCTGTGGACTGTGATGAAGACACAAGTCGGTGTCAGACATCCAACGGATTTAGCTGAACTGCACCAATTCTGTTAAGAGGAGTGGTCAAAGATACAACCAGAAGCTTGTAGACAGCAACCAAAAGTGCCTAGCTGAGATGACATTCAACCAAATATTGGCATTTTTGTATATTTTTGACCCAGAAGATTTTATCATATTTCCAGAAGATCCTTAATAAGTCTATAAAATAACCAAAATGCATGATTGTTGCTTTTTGTGAGAAGTATAGGCTTCAATGATTCCATCATAGAAAATTCTAAGTTATAAGAATCATTTGAAATTCAAGACTGGCATGATATACAGTTTATTCAGACCCTCCCATTAAAAAAAAAGGAAAAACAGCTGTCACTGAAAGAAGTTGAAACTGACAAAAGTAATAATAAAAATTCTATGAAAATCATGACATTCCTTTTGAATTGTGATTCAACAGATGTATTCAAAAAAACAAAACAAAACAAAAACAAGCAAACAAGCATGATGGGACCCGTAAACTAATATTTTGTTGAACAACCCTTTGAGCCAATCACTGCAATCAAGTATTTTCTGTGACTTCTGCACCTTTTTTTTCCCCGAAGTATTCTTTTCAACCACATTTCAAAAGCAATGTCTTATTTCACAAAATTATTATTTAGAAATGTTTTATTTATGATTACTTTTTTCAGTTTTTAGTTATTTGAGTGACTATTTTGCCTTTTCTTTAATGGAAGGGTATGAATACATTTGAGGACAACTGTTGGTCTTTATAAGTTTATGCAACTTTTGTTCAGGACTATACATGTGATAAGATCGAACCTTCTGCACTTATGAATGCAAATAAATCATCTTAATTCAGTAAATAATATCCATCATGGCTTTTCTGGCCATCATATCTATAATTTCATGACACAATAAGACTTTGTGTTGGTTTTGCTGTGACTTAAACCACTTTATCCGGAGGGCTTTGGACGCGCATCTTGGACATGTGACTCGTGTTTGCCCCCTGGTCTGAGCCAATGGGCGGGCGGCTTGAGTCAGAGGGGGGCGGGGCGTCAGCAGCAGCCGACTTCATCCTCCCTGTGATCGGCCTCTCAGGAGATTATTCCCCTCCTGGATGTTTGTTTGTCTCAGTTTCGGATCATGGCAGGATCCTCTGCAGTTCACGGTTCAGCGGAGCGTATCGGCTACATCACCCGCGTCCAGAGCTTCAGCGCCTGTCACCGGCTCCACAGGTACCTCACCATCCTCACCCCCGGTCCGCCCGCCGTGTGATAGGAAGCAGGTTGGCAGAGTTTAACAGTATAAGTGTGTTTATTTCTGACGCCGAATGAAAGTGAAAGTCGCCTGAGAATGGAGGTTTGCGTTTGACAGGGCGCTGCAGCTGTTTTAACAATAAGCGAAAGAGAAATGGTCAAAATTGGTGTTTCATGCACAGATGCTGGCGCTGCATGAAAAGCGAAAGTCTGTGGCACCACGAACATCCGCTGTAGGGCAGCTGTGGAGCTGGTACAAGTACCTGCTGAGTGTACGTTTTAGTTGAACGAAAGCGCAGATTGAATGAAACCGCTTGTGGGATTTGTAGTTTTTGGAGCCACAGAACGAACTCATTGCACAAACGCTGCGTTCAGGTTCCGGTGTCGCTGTCGTAAAAAAAAGACAGTGCTACGATCTTATTTAATTTTAAAATAAACATAAAACACGAGTTGAATCATATTGCTTTTTGTTAAGTATTATCTCTTTGGAGCTTCATACTTTACTTTTTATATTCTTAAATAGCACCAGTCGATGCTATGCTTATAAACACCGTTTACGAGGCTGGATTCAGCTTTTTCATTTTATTCATTAAGTACAAATGAACAATATGTAGATACATTACACATGGTGTAGTTTGTAATAGTAAAGTGAATATAGGAAATAGTAGTATGACAAATCAGGGCTGGGTGGTACAGCTGAAAAGGTTATAATGATATCATCACAGCTGATACTGATCAATATTCATATTTTTTTCTGACCTACTTTTGATTTAAACCAGGAGGAAAAAGGTTTTGGTTCAATTTAAACACTTTAAATTGAAGTTAACCTCTCTAGCCTGTCTGTCAAGGTACAACGGTAATACTTTCAATGTTAAAACATCAATGCAACTCACACAAAGAAATAGATTTATGAAATTAAATAAGAAAAAAGTAATGTACTCTATTCAATACACATTAAATAAAGAAAGCAAGTAAAACCTGGATGTGTATGGAGAGCCAAGCTGCCACACTGTGCTGAGGTCAGTGGCTGGATCAGGTATCAGTACAAAGGCATCCTTCACCGGCCTCCGCAAGGTCCTCCATGTCAAGCCCTGGAGTGCGTTGCTTATGCACATGGATGTCTTTGGGGGGATTACGTTGCTACTTATGTTTGATACTTGATGGGAGTACAGTTAGGCAGTGTCACAACAGATGATTGACAGGGGCTCGCCAATAACAAACCAACACTTTCCATCAACCTTGCAAGCAGTGACTGCACCTTATTGGACAAAATGCAGATTTTTCTGTGATGAAAACAGTTGACCAGAACTTGTTTCTGAAAACATTTGAGGCAAGAAATAAGCCATTCAGATGCTGCATCGGTCTTTATTTTACATTGACAAAGCAGCAGTAGCCTAGACCTCCCGTTGGTGAGGTCTATGGGTGCAGACGGAAGTGACAGAGGACCCAAGCAGCTGTAGACTAGCACACCTCAGGAGACCTCAGAGGAGCCACGGAGAGAGACAGAGGATGAAGAGGCTCGATTATCAAGGGATTTGATAGACTGTTATGATCCAAGGAAGGTGCAGGTTGGAGTTTGTTCACTGAACTAAACAAACTTGTGTGCTCCTATGGCTGTCTGCATTTGAGGCATTTAAGTGCAGCTATTGAGCATTCAGGTGTCGCCACTGTTTTACAATTCACTCTTAACTGTTAGCATCCAATTCTTAAACCTGGACTGATTATTACATTTTTTCCAGCTTTAGTCAAGATGCACAAAATACCACTTTGCTACTTGATCTAAATAAAAGCAGCTCTTTTTAAACACCTGTTGTTTTCTTCTTATTTGTTTGTACACATCATAGGTATTGTTCTATTGCAATAGCTTGTATACTATAAGCTATAATCTATAATGATAAAATGATGAGTGGGCCTATTGTTTGGCTATTCAAAACTTGTTGATTGATTTTCTGTTTGTATCGTAACAAACTTTGATCTCCTATTCAGCTAAGCTTTAAATCACATCTCCTGTTCTTATGTAATTATAACAGGTATGCATGAAAAGCACCTCGAAGCGCACTAGGACTGTACTCCTATTTTATATATGTGGATCTTTTTATGTATGAGATGTCCTTGAACGCAGCATGGTTCAATAAACCCTTGGCCTCTTTTTTTTTTTTTTTGTTTGACTTTGTAAAATCACAGGTCAAAAAATGCAGGTAAGGAGAAAAAACTTAAGCAGTGCAACAGGATTTACTCACTGTTCCCTTATATCTTCCTCAGCATTCACTTGACTGACAAGGACAATAAAGAAGTGTACGGAAAGTGCAACAATCCTAACGGCCATGGACACAACTACAAAGGTGTGTAGTGCTCTTTCATTCCACCCTGTTTTGTAACATCGAATAAGTATAAATACTGTGCTGTTTCTCTGGTCTCTTGTTCATTCAGTGTTCTCATTTCTCTCCACAGTGGAGGTAACTGTGCGTGGAAAGGTGAGTGTCTAGCAGGCGTTTCTATGAGAACTCCAGATCATACTAAAACTACTGAATCTAGAAAAACACAGTCATACGAAGTGTGACAAAAAAAGAAACCGGACATTGGTTGCTGATCACATGATTCACCAGCAGCACAGTATTGGTGTGTGGCACAAGCAGTTCAGAATCAGGCAGGATGACGTGGAGGATGACCCAAAACATCCATCAACAATAAAAAGCTGATGCCAACATCCGAAAGGTCAAGGAACTGGTGCAGAGTGATCGCAGGCTGACAATCAGAGTGATGGATGAGAAGCTGGGATTAACAGGGAGTCGGTCAGGACCATTTTATCGGATGATTTGGATATGTGGAAGAGTTGTGTAAAGTTGGTGCCCAAATTCTCCAAGGACCAAAAGACCCGTCATGTGGATGTTTTGGAGCAGCTAGACAGCAACCGAGAGTTTTTGGACAACGTCATGACTGGCTATGAGACCTGGATCTTTCAGTATAAACCCGACACCCAGCAGCAGAGCCTACAGTGGAAGATGCCGGCGTCACACACACCACTGAAAGTCCTAATGCCCAAATCGTCCAATAGGATGGTCCTGACTGACTCTCTATTAAATCCCAGTTGCTCATCCATCACTCTGATCGTCAGCCTGCGATTGCTATGCACCAGTTCCTTGACCCTCCGGATGTTGGCATCAGTTGTTGCTGTTGAGGAACGTCCTGGTTTTGGGTCATCCTCCACGTCATGCCGCCTGAGTCTGAACTTCTTGTGCCACACATAGACGGGACATTGTTTACTCCTTGTACACAACCTTCAGCATGGTAAGGCTTCCTCCAAGAACTTGACTTGCTGGGCAACACTACGATGTGCTTCATTACTGTGTAGCTACTAAATTGTGTGATCAACAACCTGTTTCTTTTTTTTTTTTTTGCCTCACCTCGTACATAAATTGACTTCCTGTTGTAGTCTTAAATTCACATAGCAGGCACACATATAACCCAGTGTTCTGGATACACATTCACAGATCGATCCTGTAACCGGCATGGTCATGAACCTGACAGACTTGAAGAAGTGTATTGAGGTAAGATTATCGTAACTTCACTGTCTTGTTTTGAAATGGGATTAACCAAAGTGGACTAAATGTTTTCCATAAATTAAACAGCAAACACTTATGCGTCTATGCAGAGAAAAAAACAGGTGGAAGAGACAAACCAGAATGTTTACTTTGAAGTACAAATTTCAATTTAAAAAAAGTATATTTTGCATTGACGTTGATTTGGGGAAGAGTATTTGTGATGGTGAGTTACTATATTTGCAGTATGTTTTAGTCCTAAAACCAGTATGTTGTGACCTGGTTGGTATTTATCACTTTGGCTATTTCAGAAAAAGCTCAAACTTCCTCTTGCTTTACGTTCATTCTGTGTGTACAGTTTGGAGGAACTACAGAATTGGGTGAAGATTACCTTTGAGTTTGCTATCATGAGAGACATTTTGATCGTACATGTTGCCATTAAATCCATTAGTTCATATGAATTATTAACAAGTAATGTACTTGTTATTATATTTTCTTGCTCCTTCGTAAAAGTTCCTAGCTTATTAAACAGGTGCAGGATGGAGCATTATGTGGACACCTAAAGGCTTCATGTGTGAAAGCCGTTTCTCTACCTATGAAACTCTTTTTAGCAACTTTCTTTCAACTTACCAGCTTGTTGACTTGATGTACTTACTGTGAAGTACAGCATTTAATGTACCGACTAATTAAATAACTGATGAATCGATCTCCCTGCAGGAAGTCATTATGATTCCACTGGACCATAAAAACCTTGATAAAGACGTCCCTTACTTTGCCAGCGTTGTAAGGTGCGTGTATTTCTGAACTGCTTCCACAGCATTTCCACAGACTAAACACACATTTGTTTTCACTGAAACTTCTTCTGTCTTGTCTGCCTGTTAGTACAACGGAGAATGTGGCTGTTTACATCTGGGACAACATGGCGAAGGTGCTCCCACCCAACCTGCTTTATGAGATCAAGATATATGAGACGGATAAAAACATTGTCGTATATCGAGGAGAGTAGACGTCTGAGTGCTCATATTGTGTTTGGTGTAATAGCCCTGAAAGTGCCATTCATTTCTCTTTGTTTAACTGTACTGTCTGCAGACTCTGGTTATGTGACCGATACAGGATTACCAAGACTCAGATTCTATTTTTTACTCTTGTATGCCAAAGACTGTGTCGTAAATCCTAATGTTCAGTATTCTTGTACAACTTTTGTTCTCGTGAAGGTGGATGACCTTTAGAACAGTGATCTTTTTGGTTAATGACTGCTTAAAACAAAGCAGGGTGGTCATGGGAAGGGTGTGAAAAACGTGAATATGAAATAATTCAATGCGTGAGTAAATCACTTCACTTACAACTCGGTTCTGAGCGCTTCTAGCCTCTGTGTCCTCTGCTCTCTGTGTCGCCACCGTTTACGTAAGAGATGCTCTTTTTATTTACTCAACCAAAATTCACCAGTAATAGAGACAGGACCCAGCTGTTATGCAAGCAGAGCATAAACTTGCACAGCTGGAGGGTGCACGCTATGCTAATTTTAGCCACCCATAAACTCACTATAAAACTACATTTTTTGGCTTCACTGTGTGTGAAAGTTAGTCGTGGCATCACTAGGGATCTCTTTTATCCTTACGCCAGGGTCATGCTCCTAGAAAGGTTCAGATTTGTAGCTCTCTGTTTTATTTAGTTAGAAGACAAAACATTTTTAGAGTATGTTCTGAGGTCTCCACTGAAACAAAATGATTCATTTATTTATGGTGAGAGCTTATACCAAAGTTACATGTATCCTTGTGTTAGTGTAACACTTCAGCCAATTACAGTCAATCCTGTTTTGTTTTGTTTTTCTTACTAGCAGTGCATCATCTGCAAATCCTGACATTAACAGAGACCAGCAGCAGACAAAACCCCCACATGTGCTGTGAGATAGATTGTATGTATGAATAGTTTTTCTTTCAGGCCACACCATGTATCCATCAGAGCCGTAGAAACACTGACATCTAGTGGTGGTAAAGCTCCAAAC